ATTCTTCTGGGTATATGGGAACATTGTTGAAAGTACATGCAAATTGGGCTCAGAGTTTAACAGAACTACAGTCTTGCCTGCAATGGCTACCCCATGCAAATTTTGTACATGGACTTGCAAGGAGGACCTGTCATGTGTTAAGGCCAAGTAGGCATCAGACATTGAAATTTACACGTCTCTTCTTACATATATAAAATCATATTCTTGTGTGTATATGCATTTGCGAGTTCATATGTGTGTAGAAGCTTGCAAACACATGGGTTCATTTGTGTCAGATAGCCTTGATGAAGCTGTAAAGAAGATTACTTAAGTATATTTTCTGTCAAATTCTCAAATACCCAAATGGTATGTATTAGAAAAATGATATTCAAAATTTTCAAATCTCACTTGTGTATCTTTTATTTTTAAATAGAATTTTGTGTTAATTTTTCCAAGCATCTTCAAGGATTGAGGACTCCATAGTTCTCTTCCCATTCAAGATGCTATCAATAACAGTTGAGCTAAAAATTACGGACATACAAGAGCATACGACAATATACCTCAGGCATCCCTTGAGCTGTAGCTCTTCAAGAAGAGTCATAGGAGAGAAGGAAGAGAATGATGTGGAGGTTCCGAGTCACTGCGTACCCTGCTGTTCTCCTTCCTTAAACAGAGTTGGGGGTAGAAAGTTTTATTTAGTTTTCATAGTTGAGGGTCAGGCAGGACCTGAGAAGCAGAACAGAGGTGCTTCATGCTCCCTTCTGTACACCATGGACTTGGATTAAAGAAGCAGGACTGAGCTGCAGCATCACCCTTTATTAGCTAATTTTCTCTGGGATGATCTCTCTGCTTGAAAGTATCCTCACTCAGACGAAATAAACCAAAGTATAGGAAATGTTTGGGAAACTAAACAATCAAACAAGAAATTTTGGTTTTATTTTAATATTTTTATTCATTATTCTAATGTGGTCCATATAAAGAATCATTCATGATTCATATATAAATGTGGAGAACTCGAAAGAAAGAATTAGAATTTGGCTTGATTCCACAGAAGCACTTAAGCATCTCTAAGATAGCCCAGTACAGCTGAAGGTAGGGTAAGGATGTGGAAGTACTAGGGGATGAGCCAGTCCACAAACATCAGTGTTAAACGCTGAATGGCAGTTATTGTGCAAGCTCCTCTAAAAGTAAGAGGTGGTCGAAAGAGTAAAGGATGCTCAGGGTGAGAGGGAAATTTTACATGCCGGTTGTTCATCAGGGCTCTCATTTTGTCCCCTTCTCAGCTAAGACCTCATGACAATCATGTTAGCATGTACCTCTTCCTAAACGTGTGACTAAAACAATGATTCTCAGCTGAAGGCCATCTCCTCTAGGAGGCACTGGCAATGTTTGTAGACATTTTAAGTTGTCACAAAAGGGTGGAGTCTTACTGTCCTCCACTGGGGAGAGGTGACAACTCAGCTAAACATTCTATAGTTCATAGCACAGCTCTCTCCTCATATCTCAGGACCAATGACCACAACAAAGAAGTTAACAGCATCAGGGCAAGAACTCTGGACTATTCACATGTCCCAAAGGCTTGGTAATCATTGAAATCAATAAAATAATAGTGTTGATGAAAACCAACTAGGTACCGAACTTTGTAACATTTGTCTCAATAAGTGGGATAATCATTTTGGTGTCATGCAGAACTGAGCAAAGCTGACCCAGTTAGCGCTCCCAGGTCTGGCTGACCTGGGTGTGTCTATTTTCTCCCTAAACACTAGAGGATCCAACTCATGCTCCTTCAACCTGGTTTGTCAATTTCTGCTCCAGGAACCTTGACTCTCCATGTTTCTCCTTAGGGAGTTTAAGTCTGAGGTTTAGACACAGAGCCCAGGCAGGCTGGATGTTATAGCTACAAGTCTTCACTTTCTTTTCAATCTATGAGTGCATTCCTCTATTCCTGAGATTGGTTGAGGGAGACTTTTAAGTGATGTTGGGTGGTTTTGTAATTTTATGTTTCTCATAATGTTTTTCTTCGGTTTGAAGAAACAGTTGAATCCACGTAAACCAATCAAAAGTATTCCACTACGGAAAGGAGGCATACATTTTCCCTGGAGTTACCCACATGCAGCTTTTCATGTTTACTCGGGTATGGAACAACACAAAATGAGGTTTCTTGTGGATCTGATATTTACTTCAGAAGTAGAAACATGGTCCAAGGGAGGTTAAAGGTAAAGCGCAACACATGTTTTCATGTAAAACCCTCTCTCCCTTCCTTGGGTATTCATACACATTTCATGGAGAAACAAGACATGATGGCATGCTGAGCCCTGGATTAGAATCATAGTAATGAGCACATACACCCTCAGCATGTCTGCAACCATTTCCTTCCTAACATAGCACAACCCAATGCAGCCCTTAGCCCAGCTCACCCTCACCTGCAGCACGTCTATCAGGGGAAACCAGAAAGCGAGTCTGATGGCTATCAACTGTGTCAGGAACTGTACCCGTCTTTCTGGGTCAGCAGCATTTCCTGTTGATTTAGTTTAGACGTGAAGTGTATTAAGATTGTCTTACTCTCTCAGTGAGAAAGCAAGGTCCAGTGTTTCAATTGCCATGGGCTTCCAATAATGTTGGCTCCTAGGAGAGGTGCTGAGAAGGAACACAGAGCAATGCATATATTTTCAGTTCCCTCTGCTCTCACATTATACAATACATAAACTGTGTGCTTAGAATCTAACTCAGTCAGCAGATCGATATAGTCAGACCATCTACAGAGGCATAACTGCTTTTGATCAGTTGTACCACTAACGAAATTAAAGTTTAGATAATTGAAGCCTAATAAATAAGTAAAGATAAGAAGCCCTGTTTCCTGAACTTAACCACAAGGCTACTCTAAGAAGCATAAGGATTGCAGTTCTGAAAATGAGCGCTAGGATATCTCCAGAACATTCAGATGGAAGAAGGATCATTTACTGGGAGATGGGGCAGAGAAAATTTTCAGGATGCTGTCATCAAAAACCAATTGGGGCCACGTTGTCCATTAGATGAGCCCACAGGGTTGTGTGCTTGTGAAGGGCAGGCGAGAGCTGGTGAGACATAGTTAATCCCATGTGTGAATTCTCTGTGGGTGCCCTTAGTCCTTTGCATGTATTAGTTCCTTTAAGCCGCACCGCCTAAACTATCTATTCTTTTTTCACCAACTGTATCAAATCAAAAAATATGTGAACATTCCGTGATCCAGGCATTTACTAAAACAAGAATCCATGACAGATCATGGTAGAGTCTCAGTTAACATGGATCCTTTTGGCTGTTACTAAGATACTTCATCTCAGGGGGGCATAAAAGAATCAATTATTTATTGCCACTGCCACTCCATAGAGGAGACAAATAATAATGCATTGTTAATTGATGCAAATTATTACTGTATGTTGAAACAATCCTCAGGACTTGAGTAATTACATGGTTTTGTAGAATAAGTAATATTCCAAAAAATTCCCAGTTAGTTTTTTTCATATAAAACCTTTTTATCTTTTTGTTTTTAACAATAGCACTTATAGTAGTCTTCTAGAAAAAAAGTCTTTTAAAAAGAAGGTACAGAAAACATCTGTATCTACCTTTCAACCTAACTAATCTTCAGAATTACACCAACATGTTCATTCTTACTGTTCTCTGTGTCAAGGATCCATGATCCGTTGGTGAATTTGAGGAGTAGAGAGTGGTTTGCAAGGGAGGCAAATACAGAAGGTAGACTAGATAAATGATTCATCCATTTTCCTCCATCTCTAGCTAGGATCATGTTTCTTTGATTCCAGTCTAGATTTACATGCAAGGAATATTATTGAGCCGTTGGAATGAATGCCTTGTGCATTTATTCATAAAAATTTAAAATACAATGGAATATAATGAAATTTTCATATAGCAATAATCTCTGAGTAATACAAAAATTTTCTTGACATTTTAAAAAAGGAAATACATTTTACTCCCTTATTAAGGGTAATTATTTCCAAAGAAATAGGTGTTTTAAATCATACATTTCTTAATTTTGCTTGTTCTTAAATGAGATATTGTAGTTTTGTAAAAATGGTTAGAAACATTATTTTCTACTGTTTGATAATAGTTAATGGCATCAGTGAAGACTTCTGATCTGCAGGACATGCATATCTAAGCGTTTAGTTCAGGGCCTTTGTATAGTACAACACTGTCAATTTCCCAACATTTCAAAAAGCATATTTGTAAGCAATACAGACATGTAGAAATCAAAGTACAGAATGCTTAATCACTTCAACAATTTTTCTACAAGGTTGTGTGTGTAGAGGTCATTTAATTATCATTGGTTCTTAAAAATGAAGTTCACATAAATATAAAGACCAGAACTATTACAGTATGGGAAAATCAGGAGGGAATTTAAAGTCAGCTGTGCATATCCACCTAAAGTTATGTGCATACATATGTAAATGTAAATGATACTCAGCAGCCTTATTTCCACTAATGAATACAAAATAAGTACAAAAAGTTCAAACTATTTCAACGATTTTATTTGTCAAACAGAGATGCTCATAACATTGCAAAGCCATTGAGAAGTTGAATTAAATAAGAATACATGTTGATCAGAGTCTGACAAGAACCAAGTCTTCCCTGAGTGTTATATACTAAATTAATGTCAAAGCTCTCATTACATATTGAACTTTAACTGATTTAAAAATACTGCTGCACCTGACATCTGCTCATGGAAAGCTCCATTACCCAGAAAGCACAAATACTAATTTCCACAGCTGGCCTGTGATCCCCCGTATCTGTCACCCAATTAATTCTTAAAGGGACCAAGAGTATAAATGAAGTGGTTTCCCTGGCTCACAATTTGTTTAGGAAAATCCAATTGAATAAAAATAACTTATAAAGTACTCCGAGTTTAGGTATTTGACATGTTAATTAAAGTCAACAAAACGTTTCAAAGGCTTGTTTGTTGTTGTTGGACAATTAGGGTCAGATTTTTTTGTTTTTGTTGTTTGTTTTCCCTCCAGGCCTGAACATATATATCACAGATAGGCAAACAAGGCTATAGCAAGTACGTCTTCATATCTTCTGCGTAACATCTCGGCAGTAAGCAATGGAAAAGGGAAGCTTGCACCCATACTGCCCCACCCCTAGAAGAACAGTTACAACTTACGTGCTAATCTAACCAGCTTGTGTGGGCCAGGAAACCCAGAGCCATTCATGACTACAGCAGACCATGAAGAAATTTGGCTCGCACATCCTCTTTCCTTTATGTCTTCGCTGGGATGCCGGCCTGAGAGATGGGGATCCACTCCTGAGCATAGTCGTTCTCTCGAGCCTCTTGACTTGTGAGTCCCCACTGCTCTTTCCCTGGGAAGCAGAGACTAAAGCATGCCTGTGTTGCTGTTTCTTTGCCTGCCAGTTAATCACGGGAAATTTTTCTCCTTTGCTTGCAGTTGGACTTGGGAAGGTGGAACAACCTGAAATATCCGTTTCCAGAGCAACGGATGAGACGGCCCAAATATCCTGTAAGGTCTCCATCAACAGCTTTAAAAGTGTAGCCATACACTGGTACCGGCAGAAACCAAATCAAGGTTTACAGTTTCTGTTATATGTCATGGCAACTCCCACCCATATTCTCTTAGATGGCACCAAGAAAATGGAAGCAAGTAAAAATTCCAGTGCTTCCACATCGACATTGACAATATATTCCTTGAAGGAAGAAGACGAAGCTATCTATTACTGTTCCTACGGCTAAAGCACAGCATTTGAGCTTCCGGAATAGCCTACACAAGAACCATCCCCCAGCCCTGTGTTCCAACCCACATCCTTCTCAGTCAAAGCAGCCACCTGCTGTTCAGCTGGGGGTACCACTTAGTCTTTCCCTCCTTATAGCACTTCTGCGGCAACAATGTGGGTCTCCTATCCAAGCGCAGCCCCAGGGACTACATTGCAGTCAAAGGCTGGCTTGACACTGTTCCTACTAAATGAGAATATCTGGGAACAGTTCAATATACAATGGCAACCTGCTGACCACATGATTTGGTTCTTTCATAACCATACAAAAGAAGTGGACAAAGGGATGGAATCAAGCTTCTGGTAGTCTATGAGTTAAGCCCTTGTTACAGATGACTCACTTGATTCTCAAAAGGACAGTGGAAAGTCTCACAGCCTCAACTTTTGAATAGATTCCTGGGACGGAAACTTGATGGATGCTCAAACGATGTAGAGGAGAGAAAGTGGCACCTTATCTGTGGGTCTAAAGTGACAAACATCATGTAACTATTAAATACGTTCTTTGAAGAATTGTTAATAAAGTGGAAAACATTCATTACATTTAGTGGAGAACCTGAGATGGTTAAAAGAAAGGAAAACAGGGAGCAACCACTTGGGCTAGTCAGTGTTTTGTGTGTGTGTGTGTGTGTGTGTGTACACGTAGGCCAGCCTCATGTGAAAGAGCAGACTGATCATATTTCTCTTTCAGCCTCTTATTTCTGCCTCTATCCTCATTCTAGTCACCACTTCCTAGTAGTTTAAAACACACAGGCAGAATGTATATTACCACATGTAGGAGACAAAGATGCCAAAAATTCATAAAAGTCTTAATCTTGTGACGTCAGCGGCCTCTAGCTTTTTGTCTTGAGGTCTACAAGTGCTTGCTAGGAAAAGAAGCATTGGAGTCTTGTGTTTTTAATTAAAAAGCCTGTGACATATTCACTAGGATTGTCTTGGATGTAGAGATGATTTATATTAAAAGCTTTGAAATAAAGTATCATATTTATTGATAAAAATGATTAAACAAAAAGGAAATTTCCAAAATTTAAAAAATGATTGTGAAAAATAGTGATTTACAAACATTTCTGGTGCTGGCATACTTTCCACATGCCAACAGAAAGCTTCTGTTACATAAACTGTTATGTATCTGTAATAGATTTAACATGTTGACATACGTGTTTGATGATAAACTGTTATATAATATAATCATATGTGTGATACACTTGGAGCTTTTTTTCTTTTTAGGTTTTCACACTCATTCCTGCTACTATTCTTTAGTTCTAAGGACAAGACAAAAACAGAATAGCATGACATGAACATTACAGTGGTGACAGTCAGTCATTGAACTGCAGAAAACCCATAGATTGTGTTGTGCCCACAAAGGTTGATCGAGATATAGCTTCCAATTACTCAGAAGGTAAAGATATGAAGTTTCAGTGAGCAGTCAATGCTAGTGGTTGTAATCAATGCTTACACAGGTTAAGGTAATTATTACTTGGCTATTTCAAAAATATATTTGTTCCAGCTGAGTTTATAGCTCAGTAGAGTGTTTGCCTGGTGCAAGACCCTGAATTCCCTCCCCAGCACTACATAAACCAGGTATGATGGCATCCATTTTTATAATCCCAGTATTTAGAATGCATCAAGCCTGTCTAGAAATAAGTAAATAAATACAACTGATTGCTACAGTGAGTGATAACAGATGAATAACAAATATTATAATGGTATATTATTTGTCTTTTAATAAATAAATCTTGCCTGAAGACCAGAGGCAAAGCTAAAGCCACTAGCAGTCAAATAATGGTGACACACACCTTTAATTCTAAGATTTCAGAGACAGAGGCAGATGGATCTCTATGAGTTCAAGGCTACCCTGGGCTACACAAGGTCAATGCAGAAGCAAATCCAAATGGTTTGGCCTAACCTTTTAATCCCAGTACTAGGGAGTGATGCCTTTGACCCCAGCACTACAGGAATATAAAATGGGAAAAGAGAGAGGCTTAATCTGCTTAGTCTATGGTCTCTCAGCCTTGGGAGAGGTAAAACTTCTCTAGTAATTTGGCTGCCTTGCTCTTCTGGTTTTTGGGTTGAATCCCAATTTCTTCTCTGGGTTTTTATTATTCATGCTACAATTTATGATGTTATTTTAATTTATGTTTCTCTGTTTGTCATCATTCACTTAACGGTTGTTTGTTATACTTCCAACCTTCCAATATTAGTTGCTCAACTTTGGTTAAATTGCTTCACCTATCTTTGACCCATTCTCTTAACTTCAAATGGATAGCATTGTACAATTAACTTGAACTAACTTTTGCAAGGATCATCTTAAATAATACACAAATTTTTACAAGTATGTAGGCCTGAGTGTACCTAATGGTCACTAACGGGAGCAATTGCAATTATTTTGATTCATATCCTGAGCCCTGGGCATCTGCAGCATGTGATCTCAAGAACTGTGTTAGGCATGAAAAAAAAAAAAACCAGTCAAGTCTCCACCTGAGTTACTGAGTCTGAATTGCATTTCCCAAGAACCTGGTCCCTCTGGGATACTAACAATCTGAGTCACAGAGGTCTAGGTGCCAAGTTGTTCAAGGGGTGAACCCACAGCCCAGGACAACTAGAATCTCATCCATCATCCAGCAGCTGGTCTGGTATCTTCTTTGATTCCTTGATAGAAATAGTGCATTGTTACTTGGTTTCTCTATAGCAACTTTCCAACCAATGCACATACAATATAGCTTGCAACTCACATATATGTAGAAAATCAGTACAAATTTTCAGTAGCTACTTTATGACCCAGAAACAAGATTAATTTTTGCTTTCAGCACAAAATGCTTGTCCTCTTATCATTGGCTTCATAGTGCTAATGAAAAATCAGCCGGGATCGGGGAAAGGAGAGTAGAAGTGACAACATTTCCATTGTCACCATCTCCTTGCATCCCAAGTTTCCTAGGAGGAGACTCTGGACGCAACTACACTCCCTGACAAGGCAGGTTCCTAACATTTCCAGAGAGAGATTGTGTTGCGGCCAGTTCAGGTCCCTTGCTCAGGTTTCATATTTTTTTTCCAAGGATTCAACAGTTGGGATTAGGTGATTTTACATGGAGGCTTCTGGGTTTATGTATATGAACCTGACCGTGGTGCTGTGCTCCCCAGCACCACCACTCATGCCATGAAGCTGAGTGCTTTGTCTTCTCCTTCTGTGCTTTTTAATGATCCCTATCAAACATGCATGCATTTGTAATGGGGAATAATGGGCCTTCTTAAAGGTTGTATTTAGTCTAGGGTGCCAGCAGCCTTTAACATGCCTATTTAATTGAAACATTCAAAAGTAGAATTAGAAAGGCATTTCCTGTGTCTTGATCACCTAGGAGATCTGTACTCAAAATTGCCAGGTGCAGGGTGAGAATAAACAAAGAACAGCTCCCCATGATCCACAATGGAGGGAGATTCACTTCTTCTCTTTCCCCTCTCCTCTCCTTCCTTCTTCACCTTTTTCTTTTCTGTTTCTACCTCTCTTTCTCCCTTTCTTTCTTTCTTCTCTTTCCTCTTTGTCTTCCTCTAACTCGTCACTAAATCTGTCTGGATTTTAGGAGTAACCTAACAAAGAATGTTAATCTTTCAACAAGAAATCAGTTTTGACCAGAAAAGAACTAAAAGTTCTCTCTCATACATGCAAGTTAAAAGCGTCAGCCTGAAACTGCAATCGTGATTCACAGGGCCTGAGAAGGGTGGAGAGTGAACACTACACGTATGTAGTCATTCCACACTCCATTGATTTGTACAGTTGAGTCATGCTAACGGGACAAGAAATTGTCTCTGTAAATTGACAGTTTGATAAACATCTTTCATAAGGACAATAGAGAAATCTGCTAATAAGTGAGTTAGATAAACCAATTGCCACAAGAAATCTTGATAAAACACCATGCCCGCCCCCTTTCAGTCCCCAGAATGCCACTTCCTCTTCCTGCACTGGTCTCTTTTATTCTGGGCCTGTGTAGCCTTAGTGTCCAGTTCCCCTCAGGACAAAGGCTGCGGAATGTGGCTTCTGCTGTCAATCTTCACACTGGCCTCTCTCGGGATCTGTGAGTAAGGTGTCCTTCACTCTCGGGATACAGAAAACAGGGACAGTCAGCTCATACCACATACCCAAGCAGTACATTCACACAGCTGCTCAAATTGAACTGATAAATTCCACTATGATTTGAATCCCTCAAGGCACATGTGGGGTGGGGGGACCCACAAAACCCAGACACTGACTGGAATCGGACTTGGACACCAAAAGTATATTATCTTAACAGAATTCAAAATTCACAATTTGATTTTTTTTTAAGTCTTAGCCTTTGTTACTTTTCAGATACAGGAGGAAGCATTCCCTCTTCGCATCTAATGTCATATATCACCAAGAGAAAAGGAGAAACAGCATTTCTTGAGTGTCAATTTAAAAACATTTTGAAGCACGATATATATACACACTGGTACCGACAGAAGCCAGGCCAGCCTCCAAAAAGAATGCTGTATATTAGTTCAAGAGGAAATGTTGTCTATGAGGAAGGTTTTAGTGAAGAAAGATATGAGGCAAAGCAATGGCAGAATGACTTGTCTTCAAATCTCAGAATATACCAAGTGACAGAAGAGGACACAGGGACATATTACTGTGCGTGCTGGGTTCCACTCTATTAAAATGCTGCACTGTTAACAAACAATAACCTTCCACAGGAGGCTCACCTGCACAGACACACACTAAACCCTCCGCAGGAAGCTCATTTGCACAGACATACACTAAACCCTCCGCAGGAAGCTCACCTGCGCACACACACAAACACACACACACACACACCCCTCCCCCTACACTGCACAAGATGCCCACCTGCACAGACACACACATGAAACCCTCCACAAGAGGCTCACATGCACAGACACACACATGAAACCCTCCACAGGAAGCTCACATGAACAAACACACACGCCTCCCCTTACA